CCAGTCTGAGGACTTGTTTGTCGGTCTTAGGACTTTATGGTCAGTCATATGACTTGGTAGTCAGTCAAAAGGCTTGATGATCAGTCTGAGGACTTGGTGATCAGTCGTGGGACTTTGTGGTCATTCAAAGGACTTAGGGGCAGTCAGAGGACTTTGTGACCAGTCTAAGGACATTTTGGTCTGTCTGAGTACTTGTTGGTCAGTCTGAGGACTTGGTTTTAATTCACAGGACTTGAAGACCAGGCAGAGGACTTGGTTGTCAGTCAGAGGACTTGGTTGGTCAGTATGAAGACTTGGTGATCAGTCAGGGGACATTATGGTTATTCACAGGACTTAGTGGCCAGTCAGAGGACTTTGTGGTAAGTCAGAGGACTCATTGGTCAGTCAAAGGACTTGGTGGTCAATTGGAGGACTTGTGTGACAGTCAAGAACTTGGTGGCCAGTCTGAGGACTTGTATGTTGATCTGAGGACTTGATGGTCAGTATGAGGACTTGGTGATCAGTCATGGTACTTTGTGGTCATTCAAATGACTAGATGGTCAATCAGAAGACTTGTTGACCAGTCTGAGGACTTGTTGGCCAGTCAGAGGACTTTATGGTTATTCACAGGACTTGGTGGCCAGTCAGATGACTTGGTAGTCAGTCAAAGAGCATGGTGGTCAGTCTGAGGCATTGGTGACCAGTCGGTGGACTTGGTCATCCGTCCGACAACTTGTTTGTCAGGCAGATGATTTGGTTGTCAGTGTGAGGACTTGGTGGTCTATCAGAGGACTTGGTGGTCAGTCAGAGAAATGGTGGTCTGTCAGAGGACTTTGTTGTAATTCACAGGACATGATGGCCAGTCAGAGGACTTGGTGGTCAGTCAGAGGACTTGGTGGTCAGTCAGAGGACTTGGTTGGTCAATCAGAGGACTTGGTGTTAAGTCATGGGACTTGTATTGTAATTCACAGGACTTGGTGGACATTCAGAGGATTTTGTGGTAAGTCAGATGACTCATTGGTCAGTCAAAGGACTTGGTGGTCAATTGGAGGACTTGAGTAACAGTCAAGGGACTTGGTGGCCAGTCTGAGGACTTGGTGGCCAGTCTGAGGACTTGTTTGATCAGTCAGATGACTTGGTAGTCAGTCAAAGGGCTTGGTGGTCAGTCTGAGGCATTAGTGACCAGTCGGTGTACTTGGTCGTCCGTTCGAGAACTTGGTTGTCAGTCGGAGGACTTGGTGGTCTGTCAGAGGACTTTGTTGTTACTCACAGGACTTGATGGCCAGTTAGAGGACTTGGTGGTCAGTCAGAGGACTTGGTGGTCAGTCAGAGGACTTGGTTGGTCAGTCAGAGGACTTGGTGTTCAGTCATGGGACTTATATTGTAATTCCCAGGACTTGGTGGCCATTCAGAGGACTTTGTGGTAAGTCAGAGGACTCATTGGTCAGTCAAAGGACTTGGTGGTCAATTGGAGGACTTGAGTAACAGTCAAGGGACTTGGTGGCCAGTCTGAGGCATTAGTGACCAGTCGGTGGACTTGGTCGTCCGTTCGAGAACTTGGTTGTCAGTCGGAGGACTTGGTGGTCTGTCAGAGGACTTTGTTGTTACTCACAGGACTTGATGGCTAGTCAGAGGACTTGGTAGTCAGTCTGGGGACTTGGTGGTCAGTCAGAGGACTTGGTGTTAAGTCATGGGACTTGTATTGTAATTCACAGGACTTGGTGGCCATTCAGAGGATTTTGTGGTAAGTCAGAGGACTAATTGATCAGTCAAAGGACTTGGTGGTTAATTGGAGGACTTGAGTAACAGTCAAGGGACTTGGTGGCCAATCTGAGGACTTGTATGTTAGTCTGAGGACTTGATGGTCAGTGTGAGGACTTGGTGATCAGTCATGGTACTTTGTGGTCATTCATAGGACTAGGGAGCAGTCAGAGGACTTGGTAGTCAGTTAAAGGGCTTGGTGGTCAGTCTGAGGCATTGGTGACCAGTCAGTGGACTTGGTCATCTGTCCGAGAACTTGGTTGTCAGTCTGAGGACTTGGTGATCAGTCGTGGGACTTTGTGGTCATTCAAAGGACCTGGGGCAGTCCATGGACTTTGTGACCAGTCTTAGGACATTTTGGTCGGTCAGATGGCTAGTTGGTTAGTCTTGTCAGTGTGAGGACTAGGTGGTCAGTCTGAGGACTGAGAGGTCAGTCAAAGGACTTGGTGACCAGTCAGAGGACTTAATAGTCAGTCTCAGGACTTGTTGTTTACTCAGAAGACTTGGTGGTCAGTCTGTGTCAGAGAAGTCTGTGACCATTCGGAGTACTTAATGACCAGTCTGAGGCTTTCATGGCTAGTCAGAGGACTTGGTTGGTCAGTCGGAGGACTTGGTGATCAGTCAGGGGATTTTCTGGTAATTCACAGGACTTGGTGGCCAGTCAGAGGACTTGGTGGTCAGTTGAAGGACTTGATTACCAGTTAAAGGACTTGGTAGCAAGTCAGGGGACTTGTGTGTCAGTCAAATGACTGGTTGGTCCGTCTGAAGGCTTGTTGGTCTGTCAAAGGTCTTGGTGGCAAGTTTTAGGACTTGGTGATCAGTTGGGGACTTTTCGGTCAGTCAAAGGACTTTCTGGTCAATCGGAGGACTTGGCGACCAGTCATAGGACTTGGTGGTCAGTCAGATGGCTAGTTGGTCAGTTTTGGTGGTCAGTGTGAGGACTTAGTAGTCAGTCAAAAGACTTGGTGACCAGTAAGAGGACTTATAAGTCAGTCTTAGGACTTGTTGGTCAGTCAGATGGCTAGGTAGTCATTCTGCAGAATTGTTGGTCAGTCAGAGGACTTGGTGGTCAATCTTAATACTTTTTCTTCAGTCGGAGGACTTGGTGGTCAGTCTAAGGACATGTTGGTCAGTCTGAGGACTTGGTGGTCAGTCTAAGGACATGTTGGTCAGTCTAAGGACATGTTGGTCAGTCTGAAGACTTGGTGGTCAGTCAGATGACATCGTGGTCAGTCATATGACTAGTTGTTCAGTCAGAGAACTTGGTGGTGAGTCTTGAAGACCATATTGTATAACATGGGATGTTTATGGGTATTTCTTGTTTTAATGTTTCATGGTTACCTCCTATAAAACAAACTGGTCTCAAGTACGTAGACATAATGTGTTGTTTTTATTTTCAGAATACCACATCATAAGCATAATTAAAACAGTCGTGTTTAGACATGTATGAGATGTAAAAGGACCCAATGCAGTTGTCCAGAAATGATGCATGCTTTGCACTCCCACCATGCACAGTTTAGAGCAAGAAATCTGTTGATCTTTTTTGTCTAGTCTTAAAGGACCCAGTGTAATATGTGTTAGGGTCAGCCTATCAGATAACTGTAATATCCTAATGATTTGATGTACATTTTAGCAAAATTACTGTAGTACATTTAGGACATGCACAATATTATTTTCTACATTGATTATAAGTTGAACGCTCGAGAAGATATGTCAACTGCTCGAGAAGTGATGTGGAGCACTGGACATAATTTATGAAGAATGTGCATGTCCTAAATGTACCACCGTAGTATTCTTATTCGTGCATACAACTATAACTTGTTAGTTTATTTATTCTCTGTCATGAACCCAAGAAACTTACATTAGTTTGGTTGTCTTAGCATTGCTTATTAATCTGTTGATAGATGTCATTCGGGCTTGACAATGCATATGTTTGTTTGAATACAAAAAGCATTGGCCAATGATATTGTGCATGTCCTAAATGTACCACCGTACTGTTCTATACATTTATAATATTTATATTTTGACTATATTCTTTTATATTACTAATATTGTTTTTATGTGATGTAATTGTTTTGATAATTTACAAGGAGCGGATTGCTCTGAAAATTTGACAATATCCTATTGTCTACACTGTAAGGATGACTTCCTTGCTCCATATAAAACTCTCAAGTATTCCTATCCTACAAACATGTACGTTTGAAATGATCCAGTGTTATTCGTGAAGCCACCGTCAATATTACTTCTTTGACCCATATAGATATATAGGATCTTACATGATTTTCCATTTATATGAGATTTATGAAACCAGAGACTATATATTACATGTAATATATACGTCTCTGATGAAACCAGTCTAAGAATTTTCAATTTAGCGAGCCTCTGGCAATCTAAAATGAAAAATTCTTTACGAGTTTCATAAATTTATGAAATGATAACGAGTGTAAGATCCTTTTTATTACATAATCAATATTTGTGGCATTTATTCGTGTAAAACGACAATTTTTGTGTTCTTGTCCTAGGCGTGACATCACAATTGAAACAATTGAAACTTACAACCATGCAATCACAGGGCTGATAGGTCAGGCGCGGATATATATTATACGTCTCTGGTGAAACCTAGCCGCATATTCAACAATATATGTTAACAATAATTAACGAGATGCTAATGAATTAAGTGTTACATCTCTTAAAATATTGTAGCAAGACAGTGATCGTGTGTGAATGAACCCATGGCCTCCAACACTTACTGAGGAACGCACTTGACATTTCTGAAGAGCGGTGCTTTTATTTTTAGACTTTTGATTAACAGTATAGATAACGTAGTATAAAGTTGGTGATGGGGGTTGATGATTTCATCATAAATTTAAGTAATGAACAAATGTCATGGTAAATTTCCACTAATCATGTTGTACTGGCAATAGTCTACTGAATTATTAACTTACATTTTTTCAGTAAATTAGCTAGGCTACATAATTTATAATATCGTTACTGTTTCAAATAATAACATTTTTATCAACATTATTAGAAATTTTAAAGCGTTTCTGATTTTAATGAAAAGAACCATAACGTCATATAACTATTGAGAATAGTATTCATTTGATCGTGTAGATCGGGTTGACAATATGATTACAGAACAATCTAGAAGGGAGATAAGCCATGTACGATTACGTTTTTTCCAGCATCACTTTCTAGTGATGTCATACCAATACCGGAAATACAGTAAGATTTCCAATGAGCATGCGCACATCAATATCAAACATGAACGACCAAAATGGCGACTGCATTTAGCTCTGGAAGCCAGAGCCCTACATCACTTTCTCGGACTATAGATCGCGTATTTGAAGATGCACAACACACGGGTGAAATTAACTTAAGTGGAAGGAAATTAAAGGAGTATCCCAAAAGTGTCTCCGCTAAATATGACTTGGTAGATACGATTGGAGCAGGTGAGTTTTACATACAAGTGCCATGTCGGGATACTGTCACTGTCATGAACCATAGATACTTACATTAGCTTAGTTGTCTTAGCATTGCTTATTAATCTGTTGATAGATGTCATTCGGGCGTTGACAATGCATATGTTTGTTTGAATACGAAAACCATTGGCGAATGATTTTACTGAATTGTGACAAAATGTAAATGATGTTGGGGATGGTGAGAGCCGGCCCATGATTCATTGACGTCGATGGACCGGAACTGATAAGGTTTCTGTCTAGGGCAGAACAAAAAGGGTGTTTGTTTTCATATACGTTAATCATATGGGAAATACAACTTTCCTTTTTTTGTACACAGCGTAATCTCTTTTAATATTTATATATGGTGTAGAAATTATCCAGTCCCTGTATTGGACTTGGGTTTATATGTTTACCTGTGTGTTGTGTATTGGAAATGTTGTCTGGTTTTGTGAAGTGAATACACACAACATAGTCGTTGATCTGGAACAAAGACACGGGTATGATACATTATGATGCCCTTCCTTGAGATTTCAACCAGCACATTTGTACGTATTCAGGCTCCTGATCATGACTGGCACAAGTTTATGAGAAAATTGTTTACATCTTTCTTCATATTTGACTGACTGATAATTATTGCAATTCAGCAGTGACATTCAACACAAATCTACCCACTAATATAAGTTAAAACATGAAACATATATATACAAAGTTGGTTGTGTTTGTTTATATTCAATTTTCCTTTTTCGAAATTAGTTGGAGGGTAGAAGTTTGGGAAATCCTAATTTACTTTAACTTTTATATTGTTTGGAATTTTGTTTGTCACATAACAGTTTACACTAGCCTTAGATTAACCTAGAATATATCCATATAAGTTGTGGTGTCTATACTAGCATGTACCAGCCTTCTACATGCCAAGTCCCAACCCTGTTGATTGATTGATTGATTGGTAGGTTTTATGTCCGCTTCACTACCGAGTAGTTCGGTTATCCAGCAGACTCCCAACCCTGTAATGGCCAGGGCTTTAAGTACTGTTCTACTTCCTTCCTACCACCAATTAGACTTGTGTATTAGCCTGTGTATTATAGAACTATTCATCCTTCCTGCTGACAGCTTGTAATCAGGATTACAGACCATGCCAGTGCTAAAGACATAGAGTAGCAAGGTGTTACTTAAGAGGTGCTTCCTTTGTTTAGATACCGGTAACTTACAGCTGACACAAGTAGATACTATAAGTTCCCACAGTTGATTTATTTTTTAAGCTGTAGCTACCTGGCTCTATCACACTGTTTATTCATAAGGCCAAATACAAAATATATGTGTTTATTATTGTCACTGAAGACTTAAACATTGCCAATGTATTCTGGCTGTTTGGGGAACTTTTTTATTGGGAATTGGGAAAAAACTTGATGAGTTGTAAAATTTGATGAAAATGTGGGAAATTCACTATATCAGAATGGCGTCAAAATTTGATCACACGAAAATGGTGCAGAGGTGTCCAACAGAGTTTGATAGGAAATTATGAACAGGCGTCAAGCGGCTCTGACAGGTGGCAAGGGGGGAAATGTGCTTACAGGATGCTGAGATGAAAGACTATCAAGGTTGTTCAAATGGATGACCTTCACCCATATTCAAGGTCACAGGGGGCCTCTTGTTTTTCAAGAAAAAGGAAAGATTTCCCTTGTTTAATGTTAAAAAAGATTGATGTTATTAAATAGGTTTCTGACTATATTCAACAAAGAAAATCAAAGACAACAAATTATGATAATTAAAAGAGGTACATATATGGCATGTATGCAAACAAAAAATTGCATTGGTGTGATGACTGGACGTCGTCCGTCCATCAACTATTTCTTTTGAACGACTTCTGAAGAAGAACTGGAGGACCAATGGTCATGATATTTGACAAGTAGGTACCTGGGATGCTATAAAATGTCCTCATTGAAATGACCTTGACCTACTTTCAAGGTCACTGGGGTCAAATATGTTAAAAACTTCAAACAACAATTTCCTAAGAACCATTTGGACTAGAGTCATGATATTTGGGTATGTTATGTAGACCAGCTGTGTGAATTGTTTTCTTTATTACAGTAATGAGGTTAAAGGTCAACTTTCAGAGGTCAATATGGGTTAAAAGCTATAAAACTAAAACTTCAAATTTCAAACAACAATATCTTCAGAACTCTTAAGAGATGTTAAAATGTCTTGTGTTCTAGTTACCAAATTTGGTCTTAAGTTACCTATATGTCAGTTTCATGTAACAAAAGAAACCGGTGAGTGATACAGGCCCTCTAGGCCACTTGTAATATTTGCAATGAATTACTGAAAAAAAACCACTTAAATATTTCATGAAAATCCTTTTTTAATGTATAATATGGGGCAAATAGAAAATCTTGGGCAACAATGCAAGTGCTATACTATTTATAATACACCCCTAACAGGCTTTGTACATGTATGCACTTCCTTATCGAGAGTCACTGTGGTAGCAAAAATGTACATACATTTCCTTTGCTACATTGATGGCTTGTAGTCGTGTTTCAGTGGCAGTCAGGATTGAGTCATTCTGTCAGGTTTTGATATACAATTAATGTGTGTGACCCACATAAATTGTAATGATCTGAACACGCTTTAAAATTACAGTCTCTGAGGTTTATATATATAATATTTATTTGTTGCAGTGTGTCTTCATCAGTATCCTGTAGTTTTGATTGGGCACACAGAGCTATAAGTTACATGGTCATATCAGCTTTAGGCTAGTACTTCAATGCACAATCTGTTTCTTGGAAGTAATATCACCGCAGGATGGAAATATTTATAGATCTAGACATATTGAAATACATCAAGGGACTATTACAATCGTGTAAATATATATGAAAAGTTTAAAAAAAAAACACCCAGAAACACTTATCCTGTAAAGATGCAAGTTATGATGTCTTAATAAAAAGGATATGTGTCACATTCTTTTTGTTTCAGTCATTTTGCAATTTTTGAAATAAGGCGATACAGTAAATTACATTACATGTGATTATGCAAAAATTGGTGTTTAGTGCACACTATTTTTACGGAAAAAGATAATCTCAAGAAAGGATTGTGCACTATATATACATACACGGGAACAGTCCAAAAGCAGTACTTAGTCCCAACCATTTAAAGTCGTTAGTTTTTCATGGGTCCACGGAAATATTTTGAAATATATATATATACTGATTAACTGATAAATTTTTGCAAAGTAATTCCTGAATGTAAATCTATTTTACAGTGTACAAAATGTTGTAATTTAACATCATAGTTACAGTCGATGTATTTTTGCTGTAGAGACGTTGTATGTGGTACTTACGGTAATCATTTCTCCATCTCACTTAAGTCAGTTACTATATTGATTCTCTCAACATGATGTTCATTAATTGGAAATTGATCCGTGTACATATTTCACCAAACACCATCAAATACTTCTGTTGAATTTCCCCAATGGACATCAGCATCTGTTTTCTTCTGGCCTAATGATTTTACAAAATTTTAAACATGTCTGTCAGCATCACTAGAAACATGTTGTAAATAGTCAATGTTGGTGGTTAAACATGTTGTAAATAGTCCATGTTGGTGGTTAAACTTGTACACTAGCTTTAGGAAATAGGCTGTTCCCTTCAATAATTATAAGTTGACAATGTCGTTTGGAACAACAAGTCAGTATTGTCACAGTTTTACATCTGTTAATATAAAACTATCCAAAAGTACAGGTAATAAAGTCTGTCAAAAATGTGATCTGAAAAATGTATGGAGTACATGCATGTTGCATCACCAAATACATTTTTAGCTCGCCTGCCCAGGGGTCGACACTAACGGTAGACCGGAGGACCGGGTCCACCAAAATCTTGGACGGTCCACTTAATCTCCAAAGCTGGTAGACCACCGGTCCACCACATATTGCTTGATAATTAGTGTATGCATATTTGAGAATATTGTTAAGAAAGATACTAATACAGACTATATAATTTGTCTGCTCAATTCCTGCAGAATGTGTCGGTTCCTGTGTCTAGTGTGTAGTGTGTTGGAAAAATCGCCGATCAACTTAGGTTTTGACATCTCAATGTTTTTCCCATAATTATGAAAATGTAGTTGTTCAATTATAGGCTCCGTTCCATGTAAGGTTTGTTTTCAAATCGTTAAGCCTAGTGTGTGCATGTGTTTTCCCCAGCTCACTTACATGTTGAACATGTGATCGATAACCTCGTGAATTATTTCAATATTTATTAAATGAAGCATCATAAAAATAGTGAATTCTGCTTTGGTTTTTATCACCTTCGAGTAGATTTGAGGAGGATGTATTGAATGTCCATGCTTCTAGTATAATCACTTTTTCTGTCCTTTTCGGTCAAATCAGTCTGTGGTTCTAGTTCTAATAGTGCAGTAAGGGTTTCACGCCACGTGTTTGGAGTGAAAACGACATGGTCCCGCGATCGCGACTGCAAATAATTTCAATTAAATTTCAGTAGAGCTATTGTTAATTGGTACTCACAGACAGAGTGTTAGCTAATTACTGCATTGTAATTTGTATTAACTGTGGTGTTGAGAAGTGTCAATAATTTTCGCTGAAGCATTGCGATCCTACCTGGTCTATAATTGTCCGGGACCAGACGGCGTCGTTGGTTATGCTCTCCGGTCAACTTACCTGTAAAAATGTTACCTGTACCCAGCTAGTGTTCGTCGCCAAATCAGCTGAGTCATGATCATGACCACAGATGACAGATTTTAGAGTAGGTAAAAATTGTGTCGCCAAAAAATATTGCCAAACTGATTTTTTTGTTGCCAAATCTGAAAAAGTGTCGCCATTTGGCCTCTTGGGGATCGTTAATGCAAGCCCTGTGCAATGACATGTTTTATATACTATTTTAATGCACTTGCCAAATTTTGCACTTGCCCGGGCGCTAAAACTGGTTGTCCCGGGCGTCAGGCAAGTTGATTTTTACACCCCTGTATTATATTTTCTATTTTTG